AGAGAATAAATCAAAAGATTCATACAGCGATTCACTATGACCATTCTAGGAAACGTCTTGCACGATCCCCACGACAGACAGCGCACTATGACGTCATTCGTACAATTTGCAGTTCCCTTTCATTTCTTGAAGTTGCAATAGTCTAACACCACGATTGTAAATTGAACAGTGCAATTGCAGAGTTAGTTAAGCATCCGTTTCTTCTTCAGAGGTGAAGTGTAAACTGCGCTCAGATGGAGTTGAGTTTTCGTAAACCTTTCGATTATACTTTAGGCTATAGACATTAAATTTCGACTGATTATAAATCGAAGTAGCCAAAATTATCTTGTGCAATTTTTTCAATAGGAGTTAACTGCAGCCTAATTCTTAAGGTGGCTTATCTCTCCAGTTAGTAACCACAATTGCCTTCTGTAAAACTTTAGCGAGTAGACATGACTATCTTTGTCCTCTTTTGCTTTAATGCAGCACATTCCCCATATTGTCTCTCTTCTTATCGCTATCACACTTATTTTCAGCTCTCTTTATATGCGTGTGCCACGGTGAATGGCAAATGCTAAAGCCCAGACAAGCCCCTGTTCATCACGTTGGCCTTGAAAAATATCATCAAATGGACACGGAGGACGAGGTAGCATCGTTCATACTTCTATCCACTCCAAATTAAGGTACGAGGCCTCCATGCAAGTAAGTTTTGTGGCTATTCTTTTGCACTCAATTATTCATGCTGCCAGCCGTCTATTCACTGATTGACTTATTCCGATAGTGTCGGATGAAGCCTTTCCTAGTCTCGTTTGAGGAAACATAGACTAGGCAGACTACGGCTGTAACTATTTTACCTCGTGTGATTTGCGGCATTGAGCCATAGAAGTGTGATAAATATATGCAATGCGTAATATTATACGCGGTGCTAGTGCCAAATGGTTCTCCTTGTAGGTCGGTGACGAATGCGCGACTAAGCTTATAGGGCCTGAAGAGCTCCAATCTATAGCATGATCCTGCGTTCATGCACCCATCACCAACTCTGGCAGATGAGGTGTATACGGGCTCACATCTTCGAGGCGAATTTCATACCCTCCTACATGGTTTCTTTGCCTCTTTTTGGTCGAACTAAGCATTTTATGATAACCTTATTTCAATATTATATGTTGTCAATCTTCAATGTGTCTATGTATCAAGACGACTCACCGCATTATATTGGCATCATTTTTACTCCACCACTACTTAACAAACGTTGCTATGAAGGCCAGCAGCTCGAAATGTGGGACACCCAAATTCCTAAACAAACTATGGTCATCTCATTGATAACGAAGTGATTGCGGCATGTATCAAACCCCACTGGAAAAATATGCCGGCTGCACTGTTTAAGGCGATTATTGTTAGTTATTCCTGAAAATGAGAAATGTGCCTGAACATTACATGATTTGTTTCCTAGGAGTAATGAACTTCCTTCAGTTACCAATTATTTAGCTCCCACTATTTACAGCAAAAGTTGCTTGTTTTATGCTTTTCAATAAAACAATCGCTGACTTACCAATTTGTAGGAAGTTTTTTGTTGCAGAAGACGCCAAATTATTTAAAGCTAATTCAAATTGAGTGAGTATTTACTGCATTTTACGCTTATATATAGTGCCAAACTGTGAGATACAGGCTCAGTCAGCTGGGTTTTGCACTGGTGGTTACAAGTTTACCCATATCTTATGCAGTAATTTAGCAATTAAACACTCTCATGATTGCAATTGCTAATCAATGACAAAATTTGAAGATTTAGAAAAAGACGCCAAAATTTTCTTACTTTAGCGCGTTTCCTGCAGTCAAGAAAATTTTCGCATGACTTTCTCGTAAGTAGCAATTTTAGTTAGGAGGTGATAAACTCGATGATGTGTATAGCGAACCCTCAGGGGCCTGTAAATTATGGCTAACAACAAGCCATTTTAGACTGGGTAAGTGGAGTTTTGGCACAAAATCTGTATATCATCAAGCTTTAAAGGCAGTGGAAGTGGAATACCAGAAGCAATTGGAGTGGAGCATGTAATTACTAATCAAAAGTGAATTATAACGTGATTTCAATGGTAACATGGCACACTGGTTAAAACAAAATCGACTGTCTTCGTTATAGGCATTTACTACTGAAAGCAAAAGAGTAGACACCGCAATGCTGCAGACAAGACAGTGTTATCATTCAACTCTAAATTCTGCTAGAATAGGAGTCCTGACTCCAAGATGCTGGTATTGCAAAAGATCTGCATGTCATGACAGGCATAGAGCTCCAATTAGGTTACTTGTATCCTATTTTTAATTCCCAGCACTGCGTCTAAATGCCCAACCCCCAACCACGTATTATCTGCCCACACTCCGAAATTCCACAGCTAGGCACCAGTGAAACCAAATTCAAATCTTTAACGGGAATTCTACAAATATCTGTCACTTCAACCACGAGTCAGCTGCCTTCCAGAAACCGCATAAGAGTTCTACAGAATGCTGCGGTAAAGCAGATGACGTCAAATGGCACTGTAGTGTTGCAATTATATCTTATACACAGTCATCTATATAAACGTGAGAGTGAATAGAAGGCGTAGAATACAGACATTATTTTGTACCCCATTTACTACTTCAAAAATGCTGTTATCTTAAATACGTTCTAACTGAACTCTCGAATCTTTACTTTCTGCCCTCAGTTTTCGCAAGAGAAGACTTATTGTTATTAAGTTGAACCACTGTATAGGGTTGCAAGATCTGATACAATACTACAAAGAACCGCAGATTTACTCAGTTCAGTGGGTGGTACATGGTGCATTTGTCAACATAAAAAACTACGTGACCTATGTCGCGCAGGAAGATCAGATTAAAGAATGATTGCACAGGACTTGCGCACAAGGATGCAACATTTACTCATCAAACAGAGGCATAAAAGGCAATTAGGCCTTCGTCACTGCGGTCATTCTGACCACCGGGTCATGAGGACTGCAGACAATCTAATGAGGTAGTGAATAAATGCTCTTATGACATGATATCCGGCAACAGGAATTCAAATCCGAGGTTCAGCAGATTAGGAGTTGAGGAAGCAGGGGAAATAACGGAAGAGAAAGGGGTGAGGGTGCTTGAGAAATCGTTCATCCTAACTTAGTGCCAAAGATGGCAAATTAACCATGGAATATTATCGTGACAGTAGGCAGACACCTCCTTTTGATATAAAAATTAAACTTCTTTTTCTTAGAATGCCATATTTGGCGTACATTGGTCACAGTACAAGTAGGGTATGGTAATTTGTTAATTGAATCCACTTGTGCTTCACAACCATTTGTAAAAGTGGTGAATTTTATGCCATTTGGCAACTCTATAAGGGTGACTTATTCAAAAAGCTTTCTTTAGTTATCATGAATATCCAGCCATATAGCTGTTTAAAAATCCTCGTTCTCAGTCCCTTTTGTGACACTTTCTGCGGGTTCTCAGAATGCATCATAAAGTGTTAGAGCCGTAAAAGTAACAGAAAATCCTAATCGAATTTTTTCAAAATATCGAATGACCTCAGTATCTGAGTAGAGGGTCACTTACCTTACATTGCGTGGTGAGAGAAATGTGAATACATGGGCTGAATGCTGTTTTCGCTTGAAATCAGTAAGGAGATAATACTAAGATGGAAAGATAGATGGATGAAAGGAAGAAACGAAGGAAAGAAACGTGTGATGATTAAGACAATCTCCGTCATATTATCAGAAAATCACTGTAATTCCGAGCCTTTGTGGACCCTTTTTAAGTGTTACAAAACCGATGCTAAAACAATGGATGAAACAGTCATTGCCGCGCAAACCAGAAGTTAGTGTCAGGGAAATTCAATCCATTCCACTACTAATTCAAAAACAGAGGCGTCCGTGCCGCAATTTGCAACAATGCGCTTGGTTTTTAACGCGAATAGGAATATGTTCTGAAATGTTTTATATTTTTAAGCCCTTTTCCACCTTTTTTATCAAGGCCTGCTTGATGTGTTTGTCTTTACCACTTTTAGCCTTTCCACTTTTATTCTCCATTTAACGTCCGTTCTTCTTACACAGAGGGGATGAATCCCTTTGATTCTTGGTAAAATCCGGTGTAGTAGCACTTTCTATTAGATAAATGGAAGAAGTTCACACTGGCATCGTTAGTGCTCGTGGCAATGCCTCGTTGGTACTCGTAGGGAGCTAGGGGAATGCCTGCGATGCTTTATATGCACGCATTCTAGTGTAAAGGTACGCTTTACGCTACTTCCTGATATTTTGGGCTCTACTATTTTTCTTCCTAG